CAAGGAAGGCTTACTCGCTTGCAGCTGTTTTTGTGTGGCCACCAGCAGCAGCAACAGCACTAGAACCAGTATCAGCAGCAGCAGCAACACCAACACCAAGAGCAACACCAAGAGCAAGAGCAAGACCTTATTTGTACGCTGTCTGGCTGTCTGTCTGCTAGAAATCTGTTTGGCACACAGATCCGACTGCAGATACCCAGTACTAGCAACCCCACATGGCGCCACCCCCTCCCGTCGGGTGTCTTGGAACACTTTGTGTTATTGTTTGACTCGCGACTTTTTTCGAGCTGGCAAAGTTTTTGTAATCTGTGCGATTCGCTTGCTCGCAGAGCAAATGGCAAAGCGCTTTTATTTTACAAATTAATTAAAACATTAACAGGAAGCAGCAGTAGTAGAACAAGGGGAGCAACAATTTTGGAAGCTATCGTTGAGTGTGCATGTGTGTGTTTGTGTGTGTGTGTGTCCTCGCATCCTTTTGTCGCATTTCACGCGTAATCCTGTTCGCAAATAAAATTTACAATTTATGGCCATACTTCTTCTTGTCCTGGTACTTGTTCTTGTTCTTGTTATTTTTGTTTGTGTTTTCATAAAATTTTACGTGTAGATTGCTCATAATTACACACACACACACACACACACATACATTAGCCACAGCTGCGCTTGGAATGAAAATCAGAAACACAAATAGGAGACAGGGAGACAGAGAGTCACAGTTACACAGTTTCAAGTAACGGTTACAGCAAGAGTTACAATAACCGTTATCCACTTACATTTGTCTTTCTTTTTGGTTTTGGCGCACGCTGCGTATGCGCAACTTTTGCATAGAACAAATAGAAAACAAAATTTGTTTGAAATACTTTACGGAATGGAGCTTTAAGGGAATGAATTCGGAGTAAAGCAACATGGAAGTGAAAAGTACTTTAATCTTAATCTATTTGGGAGTTGACTAGGAGAATTAAGAAATCTGAGAGACAGTCGTCTATAAATTGTAATAGTTATTATCTATATCGTCTATCCTGTCCTTTAGCCCTCTCTTTGCGGTTTTTCTATTACTTCAATTTCTCCCCAACTTAATATCTTCTGCATCGCTGCCGCTCTCCTTGATTCTCATTTCTCTCTCATAAGGCTTCTCTTCTCATAAGGCATTTCCACTATTCGTTGATCCAAGGTGCTTCGTGCGCTGAGCTGCCCCCAGCAGCTGCTCATGGCTCATGGCATTCAATGCTGCCTCGACTATAAGTAAATCCACGAGTCGAGGCTTCACCTTCGCCGTCTAATTAGTGAGCAGAGCCGCAGTTAGCCGCTGCTGCCCTGAGCTCGAGCTAAACTAATTTAAGCTTAGCGAAAACACAAAATGCGAAATTCGACAAAAACAAAAGTTGACGAGCTGCGCAAGACGAAAAAAAATGAGAAAACGTCGCTCGGCAACCGCAACAAAACAAAGGGACGTAATTTGAAGCAGCTGGGAAGTAGCAGCAACAACAACAACAACAACAGCTGCAGCAACAGCAACAGAAATAGTAAAGTTGACGTTGACGTCAAAAACTAAAGTCAAAACAAATAATTTGCTATAATAACTAAGAGCGTCGAGAGTAAAAATCAGCTGCTGGGAAACAAAAGAAGCAAAAGTAATAGACAAGTGGAAGTGAAACAAAGGAAAAACCAAAGCAAACAGCAGCAACTACAACACTAACCACACACATACACATACACATACACACAACACCCTTCAACATAGAAAACTTTCTCCTTCCACAAAGATCTCTCGCTCTCTAGCTAAAACGTCGTCATCTTCGTCGCTTCGACGCTCCACTTTGTTGTGCGTGTGTGTGTGTGTGTGTGTGTACTTTGCAAGTTAAGGAGCTCTGCATAGACGCTGTCTTATTCCCGGATCCCAGCCTCCTGCGCCCGTCTCCAATCAGCTCTCATCCCGCTCGACCGCAAGACTATTAAACGCACACTTGCGTGCGAGTTTTTCGCACCCGCCTTTGGGCTTCCACTCAAGGCGAACCGCAAGCGCTGTAAACAGTTTTCTGTTTTTATTTTACACTGCACATACCCTGTACTTCACTCGCAGTGGCAGGCACTAGCAGAGAGTTTCTTTTGTACAAAATCTTCTCAGAGCATCGCATAGGCGCATCTCATCTAGGCCCGCAGGCAGAGGGTATCGTATGGTAGATGAGTATATCGAAAGCCAAATATCTTGAGGCAAGATAGCTCTTATGTTACTCGATCTATCAAGGGACTCCTTCGAGTCTTGTTTCTTTTGTTTGCTTCTATCCATAATAAATTGTCATCGGCTACACAGAATTAGTTCATTATCTCACTTTATCAAGAACTCTACGATGACCCTAGTTATCTCTCTAAAAACTCTAGCTCTGTGTAAATCTATAGGTCTATATAAGAGTTAGAAGCATAATAGAGAGACAAATCTTGAGGGCTTACAGGTCATCTTGGATTCGTTCACTCGCTACTCTCGCAATCTTCAGTTGTTTTTCTTGGCAAATCTCGCGCAGCAGCTGCGGTTTGTTGGTGATGATGCCGCAGACCTAAAACCAAACCCAAACCCAAACCCCAAGCCAGAAACCCCAAGAGCCAACTTCAGCGCGAAAGCCCAGCCCAACCTTAAGCGAAGCCTAACCCAGACGCTTGACTGAAATGCAATGCGATTCATTGGCAGCAGCTGGCTACAGCCTTGGCCTCTCTCATTTTTCTCTTCTTCTTCTTCTTCTTCTTTTTTCATCTTTCTGTTTTGCAATTTGTGCTGGCGACGAGGTTTATGAGCTCTGGTAAGCCTCTAGCCTGATGCTTGCCCCAGCGCGCCGATTGTGAATGTTTATGCATATCACCCGCATGGCTCGTAATTCTCTTTGGTTCGCTTATCGACAAACTGCAATCGGCATATAATTTTGCAGCAATTGCGGCGCTGATATACCCGGTCCTCGCCATATGCCAATATGCCAGCTGGGTGAGCTCAGCCCTCGACGCATCGAAGCCCTGACGACATTAAGGCAATCGCGTCTGACCGCTGAGGCCAACCCCAAAAACGCAAGCTGTAAATTGTAGCGGGCTCTGTTCTCCAGCATAACTCTTCCCACTCTCTCGCACTCTCTCTCTCTCTCTCTATCGTACTCCTGCTCTGCATCATTGTGATATACTGTCAGAAGAAACTGTATGAAAGGCGCAGAGGAAATTATGCGTAATGAAGTGAGCAATGACTCTGTGTGTAGGGGAGTCCTTATCAGTCTATGGGTGTGTGTGAGTGCGTGTGTGTGTGTGTTGAACATTGTTGCTATTGCGAACTGGACCTCCTGCTACCTCCGTTGCGCTCTCCTCCACGGTTTCCTGTTTAGCTTGGGTAGTTTTTATTCGCTTCGTTTCCGCGTCAATTTCCTTTAATGTGTTGTGGCGTGATGTCCCTTAATACACACACACACACATACACACACGCACACCAATACAGAATGAGTGTATGCGCTATCTATGATATGTGTACATGTATGTGTATATAACTCTCAATCAGTTTTTGCGTTTTATGCGCACTTTTATGACTTGTGTTTCTTGTTCCTTCGACTTGCTGCTGCTGCTGCTGGGGGTTGTTCCGATACTATTTTATCTGCGTAATTGAGTTCGTTTGCACATTAGCAACATTAGCAACAACAACAACAACAACAACAACTGCAACAGCAACTGAAACAGCTGAAACAGAAACTATAAATTTAGAATATTTAGCAAATGGGGGCGTTCGTAATTGCCCAGCCATGTGTTATAAATGTGGGGGACTATCAAATTTATATATGCCTATGACAATGAAATACGAATTCTAGCTAGAGTTCTTTATAGCAAAGTTGATTTCTCTTAAATTTGCGTAAAGCCCTTATATATTGTGTATGATTTATGGAAATGTTATTTTGCTGTGAGCAAAGAAATTGAAACTGAAATTCTATAGGGAATATAGTTATCAGGAATGAGAGGCTATTCTTGCTAAAGCTGTTTAAGTTGTTAAATGGGATCTATATATACTTTTTGGAATGGGGCTACGAAAACAAGGGTCTTTCAGAAACGATGTTCAAAAACGAAAATTTATAGAGAATAATTCGAGTGTAAATTAAGCCGTGAATGACTTCAGTTGTTGTGAAGCTTATCATGTGAAGCACTTTATGTAGATAAATAATTTGATTAATGTTCATAATGCGCATTAAAGAGAGTTTGGAAATGCTAATTACTTTAGGCATCCCCACACAATTATGTCTCCACCTAGCATCAAATTTTTATCACCTGAATTATAATTATAGAAATTGTATTAAAACATTTTCATTATATGTATCCCTCTCTCTCTCTCTCTCTCTGTCATTTCAGGTATGTTGATATATGTTTGTGTCTGCGTCTATAATGAAGCATTAACATTAATGCAGCAGGCATCGGACATTTAACGATCTCTGGTATATGCCAATCGCAGGTATTTATGCTGTTGAGTGTGATGAAAGCCATTTGCCCTGTTGCCAAACGCACTTTAAAAGCTCCAGCAACAGCTCCCAACGGCAAATTATGAAAATTAAATAAATGTGAGGACTAACCGACTGCATGATACTCATTCCGGCAACGACCTGAGCTGAAATTCGATTGATTAAGCCTTAAATAGATTAATACTGACTCAGAATGCTAGATGGATGATATAGTACCAGATCTGTTACGTGCCCAAGAGATGCATGTATGATTTCTGATAAACATACTTATATACTTGGCATATGCAATCGTATATATATCATATCTGCCTGCAATGCCAGCTAGAGTGTCGGCAAACCAATATGCCCTCTGTGCACCTTTGCGCGAGTTTAATAATAAACCATAATAATATTAAACGAGCATAATAAAGGGGCGTATGCCACGACTTAATGACCAGCCAGACTGTGCCACATTTATAATGAGCACTTATATATATATAAACATATCTGTATATATGTATGTGTATAAAACTCTTTAAATAGTAGTAGTAAAAGCTGAACTGAAAACCAATTTGGCCCGACCAGTTCTTGGCAAAGACTTTACACAAAACCAAGAGTCCAATAGAAAGAGAGAGACAGAGAGACAGAGACAGAGAGAGTGAGAGGAAAAAACAATACTAATTGCAATTTTCACACCAGACATTCGAGGAGATAAAGCAAGAAATATGAGCGGCAATTGCCAATAGCTGAATTGCGTGCAGAAAACACTTACAGATATTTGGTCAACGATTATTGGCTCAAAGCGAAGCAAAGAAAGAAGAGAGGCATAGAGAGAGAGAGAGAGAGAGAGAGATAGTGAACGAAACCTTTGAGCTGCAAGCTTTGGCTGACTCACGACACGGCCACAAATTGACTTCTCTTTTAAGCAATGGAAAAAATAGAAGGCGAGCAGGAGCGTACGAGCGAGTGCTTGACTGGAGGATACCCCATACTATTTTCAGCTGTCAGCTGGCAGTGCAGCCTCTGCACCACACGAATATGCCTCGCTTAGCCCCAAGGCGGAGCCATTTCAATTGCGCGTCTCTCCGCTCAGCCAAGATGCCCGAAATATTACGGGGTAGCCGCTGCCAGTCGGGTAGTCACAGCCAACAAGCCATATTAGCCACCAGCCTGAACGTGAGTGGGTAACTGATGAGCCCTCAGCATGGACATGGCTCCGAGTCCCAGTTCGAGTCGAACTATTTGGCTTTGGCTTTGGCTTTGGCTTTGGGTACGTGCGCAAGGTCAAGTTGTTTATGGACAGCACTTGATATTCGATATTTGATACCATCGACACGCCGTTGGCCCAAACCATAATTTCAGCCACATTCAAGCTGTTTGGCTTTTACGCTTCTTCCTCTTCCTCCTCCTCCGCCGCCACAGTTCGTCCGGCCTTTATGCATATGTCTGCGAATATTGGCGATGAAATGCCGATGCTACGAAAAGTGCTTGGCTCCACAATTTATTTGATTTTCAATTTCGAATTTATTGTTCCAAGGCGTTTATACTTTTGCAGCTCGACCACGCCTCCTCTGCCCGCCTCCCATTGGAGTTTGTATAAATGATTTGGTTCGAGTCTTATCTATAAATATGAATGTATGCAGTATATTTATATTTAATGCTAATTCTCAGCTTTATTTCTTCCATTCAGCTCTAAATGAATGTATATATATTATTTGATACAAGTTTTTATTCCGCTTTAAGCACTTTCCAGCTGACTCTTTGCTTTCGCTTTACGAATATCGAATTCGCGCTTTTGGCTTACGCCGAGCGATTTTTGTTTCGTATTTTGTTCGCTTTCGATTCGAATTTCGCAGCGTTTAAGTCTATGCAGATATATGTATGTACATATATATCGGCTTAATCGCACTCGTATTCTGATCATTCTCGAAAGCAAAAGTTATGCATAGGTGAATGTGAATGTAAGCGTGTGTGTGTGTGTGATATGTTTATGTATATGTAGTTCCATCTTTTTTTGTGGTACGTCTGTTCACTTTCCATTTTAGACTTTTGCAAATTTGCATTTGCTGCTGCTATTGAATATGTATGACAGACAGACAGATATTCATACATGCGACTACTATATATAAAAACCAGACAACAACAGCAACAGCAACAACAAAGCAATGCTCGCAAAATGTTGTCCCACGTATTTCATTTAATTTGGTGTCGTGTATTTCATTTCAATCGACTTTTGCTTTTCATTTGCAGCGCGACTTTCGCGCACCAAAACACAATTTGCATATTGCAGGAGAGAGAGAGAGAGAGAGAGAGAGAGAGAGAGAGATTGAGAGAGATAAAGGGCCAGGGCTGCCTAAATACAAAAATATCTCATCTAAGCGTTTGCACATCAAATTAAAGTCCGTGCCGAAAAAAATTGAAAATAAAATGCGAACAGATTGAAAACTGAGCGGCAAATGGAACGTGGCCAGCTGCGACTCGTGGAGCAGTAGGAGCACAGGACGTGACCTAGCTGTAAAATTCGAGCAGGTGGACACCCACGCACGCACGCAGAGACCGGGACTGTGTGTAAGTGAGATGGAGAGTGAGAGAGAGAGAGAGAGACAACTGCAAAGCCTGTCCAGTGGAAAATGTTTAATAGAAAAATTATGCACTGATTTGTATTTGCGCTTAATCTGCCCTTTTTTTCTCGCGCAACATTTGAATGCTCGCCCAAGTAGTGTTGAGAGAGCATATTGGGTGTTTAGAAAGTTTGCAAGTGAAACTCGAGTCTTCAAATATAGTGCTAAAGGGCTATATATATATATCTAACTACGTAAGATTTCACATGAAGCTCAGAGGTATATGGAACTGGAATGGGAGTCTTGATTTTGTGGAGATGCTGTAGAAGATGCCCTATCAATAAAGAAATAAATAAATAAACAAAGATCTAACATGACGATCCTCCCCTTGATTTGTCTCTTTGTCGATAGCATTCGTATGCATATCCTTGGGCAAGTATCATGAAGTCAGTTCAGCTCGAGTGCAACGTTTGTCACTTCGACTTTTTTCTCGTGTTATTTCCATGGCTGGCTGCTTGGTCGGCTGGTTGCCCGCCTGCCGCTTATGCAAATCGAGGAGCAGCAGGAGAAGGAGAATGGGGAGGAGGAGGAGGAGCAGGAGGAGGTCCTGGCGAAAAGGACAAACCGTAGCAAGTTCCGAGACGCAATCGAAATAAATTGCCAAAGTGTCGTCTGTGCTGGCTGCCAGAAGTGGGAGTCGCTAGGGTGGGGACGTGGTTGTGAGTGGGGGCGTTGCTGGCCAGCATATCGATGGCAGCAATTTCCGGCAGCAGCAGCGGCAACAGCAGCAGCAGCAGCAGGAGCAAAAACAAGAACCGCAGAGAGAGCGTTGCTCGGAATCGAAAAAAAGTAGCTGAAGAAATTTCGCTTTACATGGCAGAACGCCTTGGCCTCTGCGATTTTTTTCTGCTTCAGCTGCCTTCCAGCTGCCACGCCCACATTCGAGTGTCGTAAAAACAAACGCCAAATCCACCGCATCAAATTGGGCAACAACAACAACAACAACAAAAATTCCTAAAAAATAAAAATTGAGTAGAAACTCGAATTGGACAAACTGGAGAAAAAAGAACTGAGGCAATTGTGTTCTAGTCGGGAGTGCGTGACTAGGAATACCTCTTTAAGCAAAGGAGATAGCTACGTGCAGAAGAGCCTATTCACTCATACTCAAGTATATTAACACTATTTAGTTTCATCTTGTACTCTTTATGCTTATAGACTCGTATATCTCAACACTCCCCAACTCCTCAGTCCCCTATTCGTATACGTCTACTTATAATCCTCTATTCTCTCATGCCTCTGCTAATACACACAATATGTGCCCCTCTAGTCTTATACTCTTATATATGTAGCCTTCATATAAACTCCATACTTTATTCATTTTCCGTTAAGAACTTATATAACCATTCTCATTGGCTTCTAGGGTATCATTCAAAAAAAGCAAAGCGTTCAAGTCGAACGATTTTCGTTCTTCTGCGTCTTCCTCACGCATAACATTTGCAGTTAGCTGGCGCTGTCACGCTGCCACGCCCACGAAACTACTAAAGCACTCTTAGAACAATGACGGCTGCAAACTTTGTGAGTCCCTCCCACAGGTCGCTCTGCCAGCTCGATTCGCCTCACTCCAGCCCATCTCTGCGCGCCCTCCGTCCAACGATTTGTCAGCGATTTCATGGGTTGCATTTTTATTTTATTGGCGAAGCGCTGGAATTTCATTTTATTGGCCATTTTGGTTGACCTTCGGGCCAGCAGCAGCAGCGGCAGCAGCGGCAGCTAACGGAACCGGCTAACAGTAGACGATGAACAAGAAGAAGCAGAAGTTTAGACCTGGCTGCATAGCTTTGAACACCCTGTGACAAGGTTGTACTAGAGGAGTATCAGGATGGGGCACAAAAGACTTACAAAGTCGTGTGTAAGGATATTGCTTAGATCTCTATATTATATATTATTCTACTCTTATCTCTGTCTCCCAAATTCTCTCTTTCTCTCTCCTTTTCCCTCTCTAACTTCTCCTTTCTTCTGCTGAGTATCCTCCTCCTGTCATTTGCTGAGTATCTGTCAGCCGTCACATCATCGTCCAGCTCCTCAATAAATTTCGCTCTGCTGCCAAGATTTTTTTGCATAATTCAAATTGTTGGCTCTGATTGGTTTTGCATTTGTCTCTGAACTCAAGTTTACTTCAACTCAAATAGAAATTCTTTTAATTTTTTGTTTTCAATTTCGGGGCTTATTGCAAAGTCAATTTGTAGTTTTCCAATTGAATTGTTTTGCTTTAATTGGGCAATGCTGTCTGTCTCTCTCTTTCTTTGTCTCTCTCTGTCTCTGCATTTATCTGCAATTACATGACACAAATATCTAGATAAACTTTTCCATTGTGACTTTTCCATCTACGTGCCGTGCAATTAATTTTCCCTAACTGCAAGTTTTCCCCTTTAACGGAGGTTTTTCCTCTCATTAGGCCTTCGCTCCATCTGATAAATGTCCGCAAATATGCCAACTACCTCGATTACCTCGTCTGCCGACCCGACCGCCTCCTCCACTCCCCCTTTTTGGACACCTTTTTGAGGGGCGTATTGTGAAATTCCAGCAGGTGTCATAAACATATTTTAACGACTTCCAGCACAACAAATTAAATAATTACCTAAGCCTCGGCCAAACACACGCACACACACACACACACACGCACACAATGACACTCAGTGGATGCGAAGGTCTGCATGAAACCCTCTCGCGAGATATTATGAAACTCCCTGCCCAAATTCAGGTTAATGCAAGAAAATTAAACGTGAACAATATTAACAATAATTATATTAGATAATTAAATGAGAAAGAAGATATATTGGAGATAAATGGACAGATACGTGAAATGGAGCTAAGAGTGTTGCCTTCCGATTAACTGAGATTTCAACAAAGACTCTCATTCAAGAATTCAGTTTAAAGCTTACTCATTAGACGTAAATAAAGACTGTGTCTACTTAGCTGCCTTATATACTTATATGTATGTGTATATATATGCATATAGCCATGTGCAACTGATAAATCAGCGCTGTTTGCATTTCTCATAAAGGCAATCGATACCTTTTGTGTTGTGTCATAAAGAACTCTTGGCAACGCGAGACCAAATGATTCACAAAAGCAACGAGACAATGGCTGAAATTTATGTGGATATATAACAAATTGTATATGTATACTATATATCGATATATATATACATATACGTTTATCTGTATATTTGATATCCATTATATGCCGCTTTCTTTATGACAAACTGTTTCATAATCGCGTTGTGGCTGCCCCAAAGTCTTTAAGTGCTTGCATAAAGTATTTAAATAATACTAAATTATATGTGCTCCATATATTACACATTACACCCTGTGTGTGTGCGCCCCTCCCCCCGCACCCTGCGCCCATTCCTAAATAGCTGTAGAATGCCAGAGAGAATTGAGTTTTGGTGCTAAATTAAATCACTTGTGGAAGATGCCAACGCGTTGATATTAAAAGCGCATAGAGAATCCAAGTGAAATCATAAAATTGTAGGCGAGCAGCGAGCGAGACGCTGCGAGGGGGGCGTGGCAAGTGGGGCAACAACTGTGAGGCGAAAAATACAAAAAAAAAAAAAAACGAAGCGAAACAAAGACAGCGGCCAAAGCGACAAACACACAGCGACAGCAACAACAAATTGAAATGACCTACATAATGGCCAAGAGCGAGCGAACGAGTTGCTGTTGTTGTTGTTGTTGCTGTTGCTTGTTGGCGACGGCGGCGACAACAGCAGCAACAGCAACAGCAACAGCAGCAGCATGATTATTGTTATTGTTGCCCATCATAGAAACAGCGAGAGAAACGACGACGACAACTGCATGAATGAATGAACCAAAACCTCATGATGAGCTAACGAGCAATTTAAGAATTTAATTTATGTGCACACACACACACACACACACTGATACACTCACAGACAACTCGTATATATAGCTGCAGTTAAAGACATGGCTTTAGCTACAGTGAAATCACCATTGGCGAACAGCTGCATTGGGCGAACATAGTTCGCTCTTCACATATTCAGAGAACAAAACAGAATGTGTTTCTAGAGACCAGATTTAGTATTTCTTAGTATTTATATTTATGGTACAAGCAGAAAATTGGCACAAATATATAATTACTTAGAACATTTTCTTGATATAGCAGTAAAATAACTTTGAAGGCAAAAATCTTTTATATATTTTTCAGCCTATGGAAGTTATATATTTTAATGTATTTTTTAGTGCTAGTAATGAAATTTCTTATATAGACAATCATTTGTATTTAGCACATGTGCATGTCAATTCCATATGTAGATGTATGTGTACTTTGTTGCTCTTTGAGCTATACAAATAGCAATTTTATACAAAGCAATGTTCTGCATTTAGTAGCTTAATATACATTACATACATACATCGACCTATAGTAGTATGTTTAGTACATGGCAGCTCTCTCACAGAAACAGATATTTCTCTAGTGTGCAATAGATTAATAGTTCGCTAATGGCAGGGTTTACTTTACTTCATCTAATGCTGGCAGCCACTGTATGTCGCATGCAACATGACAGCGGGCAGCAGTAGCAGCAGCAGCAGCAGCAGCAGCAGCAGCAACAGCAGCAGCAACAGCAGCAGCAGCGGAGTTTTGGTGCCTAATGACGTAGCCACTTAAGCGCCATTGTGTGTGTGTGTGCTTTTGTGTGTGTGTGTGTGTGTGAGTGTGCGCCACATTGGCTGCGGTTCTTTCGAATGCTGAATGCGTCTGTGGTAGCTGCTGCTGCTGTTGTTACTGTTGCTGCTAATGTTGCTGCCGCTGCTGCTGCTGCTGCTGTTGCTGCTGCTGGTGGTGCTGCTGTTGTTGCTGCTGTCGCATTGGCAACATGTAAAAGTAATTGCCAACCCGGATGCTTTGGCAGCCACACGGCCGCCATCGTCATCGCCAACGCTGGCTGTGCCACATGAAAAGCCAGAAATTAGAAACGGATCTCAAATTAGAAATGCCTCAAGCCCAAAGCAGTGCAGCGCTTTCAAGTTGTTTGCTGTTGTTGTTGGTTTGCTATTGCTGTTGTCATCAGTTCGGAGTCCAAATCCTCAGTCCAAGTCCCAAGCGCAGTCCCAATGCTGCTGAATTTTTTTTGGCACTTGCAGCGCTCGCTGGCTCGAGTGCGGGTGACATTTATGTGTGATGCATGGGAATACGTGGGGAGCAGTATGTAGATATTTCTATATATAAATAATACACTGAAGGAAATCGTGACACACATAAGCTTTGCCTAACTCAATAATCTGCCGCACTAAATTGAGTTTTACTCCAACGCGGCAAATTTATTTATATTGCCCACTTCTATTTATATGTATTGGTATGCCCTTTGCTTTCTCTCAGTGTACACACTGCGCACCCATAGGGATATAGCTTAATGTATTTATATATGCGCATTTATATTTATATGCGGGAGAGGGCGCTTCAGCTGGCAGCTGGCAACTGGCAGCTGGATGCAGTCGCCAAGTCTGCATTGCCATACTTTACACTTGGCACGCTGCCCTATATCCGCAAACGAGTTTCTCCCCCTGTCCCCCCTTTCAGTTCTCTCTCTCTCTCTGTGGAGTGGCGCGTGGGCGGGCAGTTTGCAATGATTGCGTTTTATGCATTCAAAAATTGGCAATAAACGCGTCGCGCTGCTGGCAAACTTTGTCTTTTCCTTTATGGGCCGATTGTGCATCGACGACGTTCTCTGGCGTGGACAGCGCCAACTTTGCCATATAATCTTTTACGCGGGCATTAAGCTCACTTACGAGTCGACAATGCCAAAAAAAAAGAGATAACAAGACAAGACACACACATCCTCTTCTCTCTCTCTCTCTTGCTCTGTGGCTAGAGAGTTTTCTAGACTCTGCGGCACCTTTCGTTGCCAACTGGCAACTGCCTCAAGTTGCAATGACACCAGCTGAAAGTTATCCAAGATCAGTTTGAACTTCTTTCAAGCGGTATTCATTGAGTCGTAAAGTGAAAGATTTCAGCCTGAACAACTTGCTCAGCTCCAGCTGAAGTTAGAGTTTTTTCATAAGTATATCTGTAGCTTAAAGTTCTCTAAGGCAGCTTTAAGCAGCTTATCAATTTTTAACAGCTTTCGGTACATGGCACCAGCAAATGTCACTCAATCTGTTGAGCATTTAGCGTAGTTGAACAACTCAACTTTGTGCTGTCCCTCTCTGCCTCTTCTGCTTCCTGTCTCCCGCTCTCCCTCTGCCGCTGTCTGTCTGTCTGTCAAAGTCGTGCGTTCGTATGTTACGCCCACTGGCACTTTAATCCAAAACTCTGAGGCGTGTAACAACTGCAATTTTAACTGGAATTGGAACTGGAACTAGCAGCAGGGCGAGAGAACTGCAGCTCGAACAGAACTGAAGTCGACTCGCGCGCGTCTCTAGACTCGAGTCTCTCGACGCTTTTTGGCGTCAGTCAAGCGTCAAAGCGTTTTGCACTTTACGTTGGCCAAGTTTTGTCACGCCCCCTTCTAGCAGTGGCCCGCTTTAAACGTCTCTGGAGTTAGTAGGTCAGAAGTTTCTGTGTGAAATTGTTGCTGCTGTTGTTGCTGTTGTTGACTCTAAAATAATGTTTTGGCCGCTCTTTAAGTACACAAAAGTCAACGTGACTTCTGTCTGTTTTGCTTTGGATACTCAACTTTTTGGGTGCTTTTTATATTCCTCACTCTTCTTCATCTTGGCCTTTTTTATAGCTGTCTGCTTTCATTTTTAGACTGCGTTTTAAGACTGGGTGAATGTCAGGTTCTACGACACAAATGCTCGGTGGTTCGGTGGTTCTGTGGCTCGTCTGTCTCCTGCTTTAGTTAACCAGCTACCGGGTTTCTCACTTTATGTTAGCTCACACAAAAGACACAAAAGAAAACAGAACAAGTAGCAGACAGAACGACAGGGAAAAGCGGAGAGACAGAGAGAGGAGGCAAGTTCGGGTGCGAGTGAGACAGACTTGGATTTATAAGTTGTATATGTAGAGCTCTGAGCAGAGACTTAAACAACATTCGCAGACAAACATGATGCGCCGTCTCTCTCTCTCTCTCTCTCTCTCTCTCTCTCTCTGTCTCTTTTCTATTTTTCTTTGAAGTTTTTAAGGCTGTCATGAAATTTAATAGAACACCTGAGCCCGGCTTTATGCCTGGTCGGTTCTATTTCCTGCTACTATTTTCTATATATACTTTTTGAGAAAATGCAATGGGAAAGAAAAGAATATCAAAAATATATATTTGTCATAAATTGAAAAAATATGAAAAATCATTTATAAAAATTGTAAATTTATAGAAGCTCAAAATGTGTTTTACGGCTTAAGCTGAAGTCTTTAACCTCCTCTATATAATCAAAGCAGCTCTGCTCATTAATTAATCAGAATATGCGACTCGGCCTCTCGCTCTAGCCCAATAACAATTCGCTTAGCTCATTTAGCTACACAAACATATGCACACATACATACACATCTATGAGGGTACATAAAGCATAGAAATAGAAATCAAGGTGCCTTAATTTCATGCCAAATTACAAAAGCCAAACAAAAGAAACAATGAGAAAAAACACACAGAAAAAAAACACAAAATTTGAGGGAGAAAAAAACTCCATTACAAATCAGAATTGCGGTAAAGTTGAAAAGCGCTCTGTAATTATGGTTACAGTTTGTGGGACTGGGCGGGTGGTAGGCGGGAGAGGAGGCGTGGCAGGGGGCAGCTTTGATTGAAAGTTGAAAATGGGTTTTTTTTCGCTGGGGCTCGTTTTGGCGCGCCATAAGCGCCCACTTACATTTAGTGAAGCGATCTAATACTAAGCCCAATTCAGCTCAGCTCGGCTCAGCACGCTTCGACTGCTACTCCCACTCCCACTCCAACTTCAACTCCAACTCCAACTCCAACTCCAACTTCGACTCCACAGGCAAACCAAAGCCGAAACGAAAACCTAGAAAAACGCTTTGTCAGCTCAAATTGTTGCCAAGCCAAAAAAACCCCAAGCCAGGCCGAGCCAGCCGGCCTCAGCCATCGGTCCATTCATCTAGCCATTCATCTGTGGGCCAGCGTTTCTGTTTTATTTCTGGTCTTGTGAAAAATCATTATTTAATTTGCTATTTTCCATGCGCTTTGTTCTGCCCATTCGCCTGGCTCCGAAAATGTGCCAATGTTATTAAGCCCGGCTACATTTCGACTAATTATAACAGCTCCCAAATAGGCAAACGAATATTCAAAGAACGCTTGGAGAAAACCTAGAGATGAGAAGTAAATTCTACTACCCAGTAGAATGCTGCTGTCCAGCGGGAACTATTCCGAGGTGCTTGTCTATTAAATTTACTTGTATGAAAGATTATCTTTAGCTACAGTTACATTCATCTCTCATCTCATTAAGCTCCTCTTTCTCGCTATCTCTATCTCTGTCTCAATTTAATTTCGATTTATATATCTATGCTGGCTGATTTCTTGCAGTGTAAGCGCATTCGATTACAATTCGTTGCATTTCTTTAATTTTATTCAATTTTGCATTACGCAAGAGTGTGTGTGAGAGAGAGAGAGGGGGGAAGGAGAGAAGTGCATTCATAACAGACAAGGCATACAGATGAACGAGCTGGAAATGAAGATGAAAGCAAAAAGCAAATAAATAAAATATTTACGCTAATTTATTTACTCAAGAAAAAAAAACACAAGAAGAAGAAGCGAAATAAAATACATTTCGTTTGCTCTGCGCGAATTCCTTTTTAGCGTTATTTAATTAGTTTTTGTTTGCACCTCGTTGCCAGCCGCTCTTCCCTCTTCTATCTGCCCTCTTCTCTCTTCGCCCACTTCCCACCCAGCGCCGTTGGCCTGCTTCAGTTTTCGTGTGTCTGGCAAAGTTTTCATAGCTTTTTCACAGTTTTTTTTTTTTTTCACTCACCTGCTTTTTTTTCCTACGGCCACTTTTGCTTTTAAACGTGTTAATTATGCGGCAGTCGCTGATTTTTGTGAACAGAGAGCGAGAAACCTTAAGCGAACTTTTGTATTGCAAATCTTAAAACTTTCATGTCGAGAGACAGAGAGAGAAACCTTAAAAGAATTAATGAGCATTGTTGAAAGAAAAAGAGAGAAACAGAAAGTGTGAGAGAGAGAGATTTTTGTTGCAAAACCTTAAAGTATCGTCCGAGAGAAATGAGAGAGCAAGCCTTATACGAATTTTTGAGCTTTGGACGAAACGTTGCATTCATCATGACAGATATTGGAATATCTTTATGGAATTCATGTCAATCATTCGCTTTGATGTGGCAAAGCTTTATCAATGGCGCTCTGCACGCTGATGATTTCCCACAGCTTTGGTTTCGCTTTTGCATAATGCCTGTACCTTAGCGGAGAGGACGGCAGCCCTCTCAGCCCCTCCAGCCCCTCCTGCCTATGACTAGGGAGCTCCAGCTCAGCTAACCCACAAAGCCACAAGTTCTAAGCATTCATGAATTTCTCAAGTGGAGAATTGTAAACTGAGCGAGACAGAGACGGAGAGACAATGTAGCGTAAGAGACCCCATGTTGAGGTGGCATCGACCCAACACGCAGCACAAAGAAGCCGCTGCCACACACTGTTGCAACAACAAAAGCAACAGCAACAGCAACATCGACAGCGACAGCAACAAGCTGGTTGATTGATTAACAACAAATTAGCATTAAAGCAGACAACGGAGTAATGCTTCTAGATATATGTATGTAGATAAGCCGATAGGTGCAGATACAGTTGCAGATATAGGTATAGATACAGATACAGAAATAGGTTCAGATGATGCAGAATAAATGCAAACTGCATAGGAATGGAGGATTCAGTTAAATGGTTGACTGACTGATTGATTGAGTGATTGACTGAGTGAACAGACGCTAATTGCAGGTGAAACTCGGCTGTTGTGCAATCGGCTAATTGCGCATTTGTCGATTGTCAGCCATAAATAAATATATATATATATATTGAGATATATATTATAGTACTATAGTTGCTCATAAGCTTTAAAGTAGTTCAGGGGCAGCTCAGTGAGGCAGTCAGGCAGTCAGGCAGTCTCTCAGTGAGTCTCTCAATCAGTTGGTCAATCTGCATTTTAATTTTTATGTTTTTAATTAATTAATTGCAATTTGTAATTGTAATTTGCCAGCATTGACACAGTTTTCGCACCGTTAAATAAAATGAGAAACTTTCCATTCTGCCCGTTTTCAACTTTATTTTCATTTAAATGTCAGCTTTTCCGGCTGTCGGCGTGACATTTACACAGCGAGTGCGCAATTTTCAATTGATTAAGCAATTTTATAGTTTTCCCTCGAACAAACGGGAAAATGCACAATAAAAAAAAAAAAATACAAAAATAAAGTAAAATAAAATAAAATCCAATGCCAGCGTTGCTGTTCGGTTCAATTCAATAAACGCAAAGATTGATTAAAAAGTTCATCGACAACTGCAATTGCAACTTTCAAATATACATACATGCACATAGGTATACCGTACCAATATATGTATAGTTATGGTTATAGTTTCAGTCATAAAACTTGCTCATAAATGGAGCTTTGGCGTGTGCGCTAGTCGAATGCCTGCACAGGCGGAATCAATTTCCATTTTAATACGTTTTTATAGCCAAAAACTAAAAACTAAAAGCGCAAACTTCACTTTCCTAACTATAAAATGGCTAAGTTCACAAGTGGCCTTTTAATTTTAATCAAAAGAAATCAATTCGTAGTCCCGCTTTCCCAGTCGTAGTCCCGCTTTAAGGCTGCTAAGGTGTTGGGTTAATATGTCTAAACTGAATTGGATCTCTAGTTAGATCTCTCGCCCACTCTCAACGACTGGCTCGTTGCTTAGGCTCTCTCCTCTTTCTCTCGTTTTCCGTTCCTCACTCGCTCTCCCTCCATTTCCTTTAATGATTCTATTCTATTGAAATTGTTCTCGCTAAGCCCATGATAAAGCTGCTTTTCGACTTGAGAACAGAAATGTCGCCGTCAGCCGACACAGCTGAATGAATTTTGGTTTTATTTAATTCCTTTAGTTGCTTTTTGCGCAATCATTTCCTCCAGAATGTGAGCGATGGATGCGCTAAGACGAGGTTATTTATCATCAGATGACACGACAGCTGATAAAAGGTGTCTCCTCGAGCTTACCTGCTCTACGCACACGCATGATGCCCAGCTAGGCTGACGACAGAGCGTACAAGTCCCGAGGCGCATATACCCCTTTCCCAACTCTCTCTCTCTCTCTCTCTCTCTCTCTCTCTCTCTCTCTCTCTGTCTCTTTCTTAATAGCGGAACGTATAAAAATCCAACGAAATCTTCTCCGGGCGACAACATCAAATTATTAAACATAAATTTCCGGCTGCCTTTTTATGCACGTAATTTTGGAACAATTTATCATTCGGTCTACTTAAATTGCTTCGATGACACAAAAGTGGGCAGCAAGGGTCGCAGCTGCTCGCCTATAAATATTTTGGCGTCTAATTGTTTGGCAAGCCCCCAGCTCAAACCCTTGAAAAGGGGTTGTCAACGCGCAGCAGCGACTGCGGCCATAAAGAAATTGCTGCCAGCTTCGCCTTTGCCTCGCCTTCGCCCCGCCTTTGCCTTGCCTTTGCCTCCGTATCCTTAAACGAATCTCTGCCTCATGCCAACTACTGCCTTCAATGTCTATGGCTCTCTCTGGCTGCCTCTGTGACTGTGTCTATATCTGCGTCTGCATCGCAGTCGAAGTCTGTAGCTGTGTCCTAATGAATTTACGCACACACATCGTCATTGTGCTCCTTAGCGCACAGTGGCGCAAATCACACTTAAGCCAGCTACAATTTGTAATGGAAGTGTAGCTTAATAGTTTGACTGCTACAGTGGTCTCAAATACCTGAATATTGCAAGCATTTTATGCACACTGTTTCTCCTTCGACCACTGTTTCTGTTATATATAAATTGAACTTTGAAATATTAAATTAATTTAATTTAATTTAATGTGTTATGTTATGAAGAATAAATAAATATATATTGTCTATTATTTATATTTTGTTACATTTAATTAATTTTTCGACCCACTGTGCAGCTCTACCCCTGTGCTGGGCCTTAGTTATTATATTGAACCTTCGTCATAAAATACATGTATTTTATATAGTTTTTGTTAAAGTTTTGTCCCTCTTCTCTGGATGCATAATTTTCATGTACTCTTCACTGGCTCTTGACCCACTGTGCTTGGGCATTTCTGGTAACTCTCTGTCTGCCGCCTGCGTCACATAAATTGTCCTTTGCTGGTTTTTCTGGTGTGCGCAAAATATTCTACGCTGTTGGCCATCCGCAACCCCTATCGTTCCCTCTCTCTCCTCCCTCCTCCCTCCTCTCCCTCTCTGTCGCTCAGCCCATTCATATATCCTCATCGTCATCGTCGTCGTCATCGTCTGTTCGCCTGCCTTGGTTTATTGTGTTTGTTGCGCAACATTTTTGGTTGCTCTTAGCTCATAAATCAAAAAACATTCTACAACAATTGTCTCGCTCAGTCTCCGCGCTGCTGCGCTTTTGCTTGTCCTGGTCCTGTCCTGGCGTCCGGTTGTCCTTTCGCCCTGTTGTCGTATCGTTCTTGGGCTCAACCAATTTGCACGCGCCACGAAACAAAACAGCTGCCAGCGCTTGCTGCACCTGGCTCACCTTGCCCACCTGAACTTACCTTGAAATTTTCCCAACAGCTGCAACCGGAAAAACCGAAAAACTAACAAAAGGATTTTCCGTTTCTTCTTCTTTCCAGATCTCCCTCGGAGCGTTCGGGCAAAGGCTGCTGCGGCCAATGGTTCGCCGGACCGCCGCTGCGTGCGCTCATAGCCGTCGTAGCCCTGGGGGGCGTGGCGTGCGCCCTCGGCGGCGCGGCCCTGGGCGCCACAGGGCTGGCCGGGCCGTCCAACTCGCATCTGACTGCAGCGCTGCTAATGATTGGTGAGTAAAGAGCAGATGTAGTCGTATAATAAGATTACGTAAGCCTCTGTGTGTGTGTGTGTCCGTTTATAGACCATATATGTCTGTGTGTATATGGAGACAACAAGGCGAACAATTGATGGCCAACAAAACATTACAAAAATGGCATTAAAACATTTTGTCGCCTTTTTTCGCGAGCTTTACACAATTTGTTATTGTTGCTGTACAATTATAACAGACATTTGTTGTCGCTGCTGTTGTTGTTGTTGTTGTTGTTGTTGTTGCTGCTGACCCAGTTGTAAGCACAAACAAATTTTGTTAAGAGACACATCCACAAAATGTGTCAATATTTGCAGAGCAGTTAGTTCCGGTTACAAAGTTTTTAGCAGATAGAAAGAGAGAGGGAGAGGGGGACTCAGAGAGAGCGAGATAAGAGAGAGATATATCTACACATAGCTTGTAAATATTGTCATTGCTTGTGGTTGTCTCTGTTTATGGGCGTGTGTGTGTTTAGTTTATCATCTATATAGATCTGTGGCAAATGCTTTTAGATCATTGTGTGTACACACACACACACACCCACCCACTATAATTGTGTTGTGCAAGTAAATTGCTTTACATGATTTTAAGTATGCCTTCCATTTGT